TCATCACTTGACAGGTCGTCTTCTCCACCTGCAACAAAGTATAGATTCTTTCAGTGGGATCTATCAAGTAAATGCAAAAAACTGCCTGACCAATTACAAATTTGTTACATTCTTGAAACTCAAAGTCATCAACCGGTGGTGATGACATATACCATGTAGCAGAAATTATTTGTATTTCTTTAATTATTTTCCAACTACAAATCCAGGCACAATTTTGGGGGTCTCAGGCAAGGTAACGTTGTTACAGTTGGGGGTAGTATGAGATACCTCAGTCTATGGGATCATGTGCATCATACACAGATTCCAGTAAGTCATTTTAAGGGTACATTAAATTTAGTTTAATTTTATTTTACAACTAGACCAACATTTTATAATAAATTTAATATAGGCTTTATATAAACCACCACATGTGCACAAAAGTTTTCTACAATATCTAAAGTTTTTAATTATAGTACAGTTTTCTCCTAAATAGAACCTTACGCATCCTCCAGTTTAACAAGTTTTCTACTGGAAAGCTCCTTACATGTATAATGATTTCTTCTTGGGCTACTAGCCGTGTCAAGTGGATGAATGGAAACGATGTTTTCTCCATTCAACCACCTGACATGGCTAATAGCCCAAGAAGAATTCATAATACTTAGTCACCATGAAAGCTTTACATCATACTCTTTACATGTGTTTATCAATGCTGTACTTACTGAGATTCAAGTCTCCAACTCGCAGAGCCATCATTATGCTATCTTCATTAAAACTGAAAACAAAAATTAACTTGGTTGGTTATTCAGTCACTTATCTCATGATGCTGCATTAACTTCAAAGGTTATGTAGCATAAAATGAGGATGAATCAGAAAGTGATACACAACGTATTTTATTCACAGAGATATTACTAGGGTGACGTTGCATAAAATGGATACAGGCCAATATAAACAGGTGGACTGCGGAAGATTTTATGTTTTGTTTTATTATGTTTTCATCTTTAGTTCAACAGCCAACTCCAGTTTCAGGGTACTGGTGACAGATGGTGCTAGAAAAGGAATGATAAATAACAAAGCTAGTACTTGTCCTTTGATTTTGTGGCAATAGTCTGTATGACCTTGACTTTTGTTTGCTGAAACACTGGTATACCATCCACAATCAATGTGAGTAATCCCCAGAAGACAAAGTTCTAAGCAGAGAAAATCTATAATCTCTCTTTATCTCACCAGTACTTAAGTTTTCTAACATTCAGGAAACAGAATTATACACAAACATATAAGAATATAAACATAGTGTCAAATTAGGATGAAAGCAATTTAAGTCTAGAGAAGCATTTTTATATTATTGTGCAACTTTGGCTTTTGGGGGAGAGCCATATTGAATGTTGAGAATTATCTAATGTTTCTGCAAACATTGCAGTAGTGTAATGGTTGAACATTTTTTGAATGAAAGTCTTAAACAGGGCAGGCAGTATGTATGAGGCACATTGAGTGTGATAGTGGAAGAGCTCCACCAATCAGGATAAGGTTCAGTGGTGGGGTCTTGTAAACATGGTAATGGACATTCAGGTACTATAAAAGAGGTGGAATTTGTTCACCAGCTCCGTATACTATCAGCGTCTCAAGAGAAACGTTGCCCATGAAGTTTGTTATCAGCAAAATTAAGGTGCTTGTTGGTCTTGTATTTGAGAAAATATTACCACCACCCCCCACATTCTGAATACACTGTTGGTCTTAGCTACACATGTTTTGATGCTTTTGTATTGACATTTTCAAGTTAAGCTTCCCTACAGCAGTTTTAACAGCAATAAATGTTCAGAAAAAACCTAGTAATGTATATTCTGTAATCTAATAGGAGAAAGAAGAATTACAATCATCTACATAAAAAATATATAATAAAATCAACATTGTTCTGTAGTTCATTTTAAGTAACACTAGTGGACAACTTCCAACCTCTGCTTTTAATAGCGAGTCATACTGCATACTCTGTCTGTTAACATAATAGAAATTAACTGTCCAAACCTATGATCTGAATCAGGATAATCATTGTGCCAATTGTTCTCATCGTTGGAATCATCTTCGGCTTCTTCTTCTTCTGCTGACATATCACTTGAATCTTCTGGATTGTGATACTCCCAGTCTGACTGAGCGAGTGGGTGCACACTCAGGGTCTCTATATTAATCAGTGCATCACTTCCCACTGTACTGGTGTAGTACAAGTCGTACACATAACCTGCATCTGGTCCACTGCTGTCACCTTCAAGGTCCAGCTTTGCCTAGTGAAATGTGGAGACTGCTTTACTTAAATTACATTATTCCAAGATGATATAAGAGAATGAATCATCAGCTGGAAGAAAACTGTTACCCTTACAGAACCTTTGCCATTTCAGTTACTCAGTCTCCCATCCAATGGGTCATGGGGGTTCCTTCTGGAAGGGTGGGGGGGGGCGACTAGGATGTGAAGGTAACCACTCAGCCCCATCTAGTGCACAGGTTAAGAACGTGTGTGGAACTACACATCCACTTCCCCATATGTCTGCATGACATGCTTAATTAAGCACGGGAAAATTTTATTTTCCTTTACAGGCCATTTCTTTATTTGGTTACTGTGTAGTATGGCACTGATTGCAGCTATTATGCAATGTACAATGAAAAGAATGACATGCTAGACAAGACATGGGAGGAATCTGATATCTTTTTTAGGTTATATTCTAGAACTCTTCTGGAGGAAACACGAAAAGTCATGAGTAATCTTGGTTTCAGCAGCCAAAATTCAAATCAGGCACCTCCCATCCCTTTGAAACTAAAGCTTGGATTTAGTCTGTACTACAAACAAAATATAATACTACTGCCTGTTTAAGTGAGAATCATATGAAACTCATAAAATACAATATGAAGAATTACTAACTGTTGAAGAAGGTGGGACATATAGGTACCATTTGGCTTCAAAGGATTAAATTTGAGGTATAAATATGAATGCTGATGTAATCTGCTTAGTAAAAGGACTATGGGAAAAGCAACTATTTCTGCCCACTGAAGTCACTGGGTGGGAAACTCTAGGCTACAGTGACTACAATGGTTATTACGTTTACGTTAGTCAAGAGTCAAATTCTGACAAATGAATAAGAATTCTATAAAACCTTCTCAATCAACAAGCCATGTCAGTTGTAAACAGAAGCCAAAACACGAAAGAGACCATCTTTGCCTTCAACATCATTCTCCTGATGATGGAAGCAGAGTTGTTCTCTAAAATATTGGGCTTTCATCTACAAGTGACAACAGCTTGTTTCCCAAGAAGATTTTATTGAGTTCAGTTTCTGTGAAACCTTTGTCTTGTAAGTATAAGATTTGTTTTGCTATGTGTATATTTCCCAACGTATTAAACCTTCTCTTCAGATGTTAAAATTTGTTGTCCATGAATATCATTATAAGGTACAGGGAATTTGTTAACTGTTAAATTACAGAATGATACCAATGAGTATGGCAATATTTGCTTATATATTCAATAGCAAATTTACGTGGTCCTATAGTTTTCTAGTCACAAGCACTACAAAGTAGTATCAATCAAAACTTCGTAACATCCTTTAACTATAAGCGAAATACATTAATTTAGAATGTACATGTGCAAGTGTGTGTCTTATCTTCCACCTCTGAATTCCCACAATGCTATTCTGTATTACTGCAGTATCAGTAGATCACATGTAGTAAAGTAAAGTTGCCCCTGATACTTATTAAACATCACACCATGAAGATGTATGGGGTTATTCCATTCTTTTTGACCTTGGTACTAGATGGAGATGAGTGACCAACTTTTCTCCCAGTACCCATTGGATAGGACACTAGGCAAGTTCCAAAAGCAAGTCTAGACAGGATAACTAAGAAAAAATCTCTTGCGCGTCAGGAATTTAACTTCATTTGTCTAGCCTGAAGCCTGGTCACTATACTGACTGAGTTACCGAACTATTATACCTGAGTTAGTAACATTATGAACACTGATCAAATCAAATAACTCTTAGGTATTGTTGACAATTTTTCCCATAAAACTTATTTATTCAGTTTGTACTTTAGTCCATTCAGATACAATGTTCAAACATGCATACATGACGTGATGCATACATAAAGAACATCTACATAAGTGTTACAAAACATTAATGAAGTTCTAATGACAATGCTGGTTGGTAAATAGCCAATGAAACATGGAATACAGCACACTACTAAAATATTATTACTGTCAACACCAACTTCTGTGAGGATTTATAATAATTTTATAGCGTCTACACCTAAATTTATTTCTGTACAAGTACTAACCTGTGATTTGGAAAACAGTGAGTTACCTTCTTGTTCATCGTTCATGTGACTAACAACATCGACAATAGTAATAGACTTTTCTCCATCTTCAGTCGAAACTTTGGTTTCCTTTTCAGATTCCAACACATCTGAATCCTTCAGATCTCGAAAGCAGTTCACAACCTAAATAAATTAATAAAACCACAACTAGCTTATCATATGAAATAACAGAATCTGGTTTACTACAACAAAAGATTTTCTCTATTTGGTGGTGAAAAATTACAAAAGTTTCATCACGGTGAAAACATGCATGGCGACTGACGCAAATGCACCAGCACAAAATTGGACATGTGACTTCAGACTCCCCCTGACCCCACCACAGCCTTCTTTGCATTTCTTGCTATCATCAGAACTTTATTTCAATTTCGTCCTCACATTCCATTGTAAACATAAGGCTGTAAATAAATAATTCTCCCTATTTTCATGAATTAGACTTAATAAATACAGGATTTTAAGTGAACAAATATAATTAACATTAAGCAAAGAAGTTATACGTGGTCTGAGGCATGGACCTCGCGCGCCTGGCTGCTGTGACCGTGGGTTCGAGTCCCACTCAAGACATAGATGTTTGTTTGTCTCCTCTTCCAGTCTGGTGGGTAAACAATGGCCACAGAAGGCAAGGCGAAACCACCGTGGTACTTTGCAAGAAACACCCGATGGGGTCATGATGGTCAAGCTGACCATTAAGATTAAAAAGAAGAAGAAGAAGTTATAAGTTCTATTTAGAAATGTCACAGATACCAGATAGTGACACTGCAAAACATTTATTGAAAAGTAATTAGTTACCAAACTCAGAATACTGATTCTAGATGTGGTCTGGTGACAAACTATTTGGGGGAGGGGGGGAGAGGTGTGAATCTTCAGGCTACTTAACAACAGGGTTTGTGAGAAACTGCTGAAGGAAAACCTTGATTATATAGTTACTGAACTCGTGACATCTGTATTAGTCACTGTGTTTAATTCTTGACTCCAGTGTTACATTTTTCTCTAATTTAACACTGACAACAATTTTGTCCAAAAGCAGTATAATATTATGCTAATCAAGACTGCATATCACTAACCTTGAGTCTGTTCTCCTGTGCCAACTTCTTCAGTTCAGTTCGCAACTTTCCAGTCACATCAGCTTTATGTCTCAGTCCCAGTTTTGTTTTGTCTTTCTTTAGGACCTTACTAACATGTGATGCCACATCATCTTCCTGAAAATGAGTCATAACCATGAAATTATAGAATTAAAAATAAACAAATGATATAATGAGTTTTATTCCCTTTCCACCATAGTTTTTAGATTTGGAACAAATTTAGCACTCTATGAATGGACTCAAAAATTTTTTTTTGGAAGGAAATGTTATGTAACACTAATAACAATGCACAATACATAGAAAAAAATATTTGCACATTATCCCAGACTACCATTTGCAGTCTCTGTGCTAATACCAAGCTACAAGTTGAATCCAGTATACTGTTAATTCAGCTGCACATTCACTGCATTGTAACAACAGAATTAGGAAATACAGTAGATTCTGATTAACTGGTCCTTTGGTTAATAGGCGGCAACTGTTTATTTGGACAAATATTAAAGGACAAAACCTTTTTAACTTTTTACGTGGAACTTCGCATAATTGGGACAGCCGCTTAATTGGGCCAAAGTGTTCTAGTCCCAATGTGTCCCAATTAACCAGAATCCACTGTATTTACTTTCTATTCTAAACAAGGCATTTAAGCTTCTATTAATACATGGAAGATTTAAGTTCTATAGGTTAAAAGAATGCCCTGTAGTATAAATACTAATATAAACAGTCATGATAACAAGTAGAAAGTTGGTTGTCTGGGATGTTGCACCATGTAGTGCCTGGTAGCTACTGACTTATGTTTCAGATGAGATTCCTGCCTCTATTATTAGGGTGATTGGACTCGTCAACCTGATGTTGGTCAACATCCACTAGACTGCACAGTGCAACATCCAAGATGACAGCCATCTTCAGTTTATTTACCATTTACAAATGTACTAGTAACTAATTTTCTCTGATGTTTACTGTATATATTCCTGTGGTGTAAAGGGAACCCAAACTTGTGTCTGTTTGTCACATCTGTCACCACAATTACCTGGTTCACTGTCGCTTGGTAAATTTAAGTTTGTTGTGAGTGTGCAAAGAGCATCTGGACAAATGTACCATAGAGATCCACTTACTCACAACACAATCATAAAGAGATACAAGAATAATGTAGAACAGGGACCAGGGTAAAGTCGACCAAAACGTACCACTACCATTTCTTTCCAATTCTGTGACTCAACTGGCTATTGACAGAGTCGTTAAATAAACCATAACAAATAAATAAACCAAACCATAATAAGTAGACCATCTAGTGAAAATAGTAGAGGTGTGTGTATTTACCCGATTGTTTACAGTACCCGCAAAATTCAAAATTGTTGTAAATGGATTTTCATCTTTTGTCGTTGCTAAGTCTTCTGTTTTTTTCCTTTTACAAGCAAGCACCAATGCTTCAAGTGGTTCTTCATCGAAACGACGTTTCAACCTTACAACAGCTGCCATACTGTATACAATAAACTGATGTTACTCATCTATGTCGTGATTATCTGTGTTACCCATATTGGTTATTTGAAGTCACTGTATATAGATGGCTCTAGTTGGCTCCCCCCCCCACCACCCCGATAGATGCACGGCACGGATGACCAACATTGGCGCAAGAGATATTTTGTAGTTCAAAGTTTCACCACACGGGCATGCATGGCAGCGCATTTTCTCTCTGCTTTATAGGATAGTGATTGCGAGGTAATGACATCGTGTTTCGCTCCTTTGGGTCCTGCATTTGACGCAACATTACAAAATGTAGCGACAAACCCCGTTCTGTATTGTAACTTTGTTCATTTTTCCTAAAGGCCAGTTTCTCCAGTTTTACAGCAGTGCCGATAGAGCATTCTGTTTTACATTATTACACTTTATTCAGTTCATGAGCAACATTAATGAATAGAAACAACTTATTTTTGGCATTACATTAAGTAATAAATAAAGACGCGTGAATATGGCCGGAATTATGAATAAGCTGAATAAGCTACAGCTCAAGGCCTTAAAACATAAGAGGCCTCAAAAAAGTTTATTTCAAGACATACTCTATTGACTTACTGCTTTATGCGAAAACATGGAATTGTTGTAAAGCTCATTTCAGCTTTGAGAATGATTTTAATGTCTGTTTTTAAAATAATACACACAAATAATAAAATACTGTGAAGGATTAAACAGGAGCGATTGGGCATGTTTATTTTTCCTTCTTCTTAACCATCCGTAACAATTGGGGTTTATATTTAAAATAATGTGTTTATCTTTGACCTTTCTGGGTCTGATGCTGATAAATGTTGTGACTGCGTAACGTCTGTTGCTAATTTGTCTTAGGCACCTTTCTGTACTGCGATTTACTCAGTTTGTAACATGATTCCTCGGCCAGTGTTCCAGTGTTTATATTGTTTTTATTGTGTGTGCTTGTGGATAGCGCTGTGTTTATTTTGTGCGTGGACGAAATATGGTTGACTGAATATTGAGTTTGCTGGATTCTCTACTACAAGCAAATTTTTCATTATCTTATAATCAATTTGTATTTATTATTAATTAATTTATTTACTGAATATGAATTTGTTGGGTTCACTGCTGCGCATAGATTTTTCTCTCTATTATCTTAGTAATCAGTTCTTATTTTGAAAATGGGGCCTTTAAAAATTAAGAGAACATTTGAAAGTGGATGTCAGAAGAGAAGAGGGAAGCACCATCTAGCAGAGCAGATAAAACTATTACCAAAATTAAATGATGTTGTAAATGAGATAGCTGATCTAGTTCTACGACTTTAGAAACTTCAGACTTAAATGTGGTTAATATTAATACACACAAAGAATGTTACAGAGCCTGAGAGCAGAATGTAAATAGCCAAATGAAAATAACATTTCTTACTGAATATAGAAATGTTCCTCGGAGAAGGCCCATTTGAGAAGTCAAGGCAATCTTCTAAAAACCAAATTAGACATTGTTTAACGGGTCTTCTTGTTCAGACAAAGCTTATAGCGAAATAATCTATTTGTATATATTCATAAGTTAATGTTTATGACTATGTGAGCCTGTCTTTCATAAATGATTATATTCGTTGCTTAACGCTGTTCAGGGATTCTTGGCCGTATACCTTGCATTTCTGATCGCGAAGCCACTGCCTTCTATGCTTGGTTAACAGTTGTCACGATCCACAGTCATTTGTACAGTGTGTGTAGTTCTTGACAGTTATTATTGTCAAACGTGGAAGTTTCTTTAGAAGTAAAAGTGAAAATTTACAGACATTCGAAGTTTCATCAGTTAACAATGAGAAAGGGTCGCTGGTGATGGAATTCCGTGTTGTAAGAGCTTATACTTACATCTGGAAGACGATGGTATAAAACACACTACAGTGAGGGGGAGGAGCCATGGAGTATAGGTCATATGTAATAATCTGAATGAGTTATAGGAGTTCGTGAGGGGAATAGTAACACCACGTGGGGTCAGTCTGTCGGTAGCAAAAGAAACCTTACGTGAGAAGTCACAGAATATTTGATACACATAGGATATAGAAGTTTTAGCTGAATGTTGTCTTCGAAGACTTTCATTTATAATTTCTATTATAACCAGCCTCAGCTTGGTCCTACAATTATTTATGGAACAGTTTTCAGTAATAGGTTATAAGCTTTGATTAATCAATTAATTAATTAAGCCATCTAGTTAGTTAGTTCCGGAGTCATGAACATGTACAGTTTTCTCTCCTGCTTTCAGATTATCGTCATCACTGGCATTTAATAGGACTTTGTGCTTTCTTTGTTGTATAAAAGTTTTATATAGCCAGTGAAAAGAATTTCTATGTCAGAAGTCATCCCACATACAGGCTTGGCCATACCTGATTTGAAGCAGTTTTGCACACAATTTAGAAAGGTTATAAATTGTTTTACTCTCCTTCCATGCAACGGCGTCGTTATATAATGTAGTAACTCCACGAGTATTTCTTCAGAAATGAACGTATTAGTGTTACAGAACGCAGTAGGCGTTAAAGAGATTAACTGTATTTGATTACTGCAGTGAATAGTTGAATCAGTGGTTTTATGTCAGTGTTGCAGACTATAATGGATATTATGTGCTTGGGGGTGGGGCAGGGGAGGACCGTCGTGAAAAGTCATCTATCTCAGGCGTACTACAGTTGCTTTCAGTCGTGATGTACCCGGTTCGAGCCTCGCAACCAGGTTGGAGGCTTCGATACTTTTCACTCTACCGAGATGTGACCACTGGTCTTCTTGATTTCCATTCGCTTCGTAGTAAATAAACACGTGAAATACGAACATTAATGGAAAAAGAAAAATGTACACGCGGTTTAGGAAGTGTACGCGAAGATTAACATTTCTGGTGAGTTCGCCAGAATTCGACCTTTAAACTTTGTGGTACAGTTGGGATTTTCCTATGATTTAATTTCCTCGGCTAATGATTACTCAAATCAGTCATTTCCACATGCAAAACGCTTCTAGGTCTTCATGTAAAGTGACTTATTATTGTTACCCGATTTTAACTGAAATTGGAACGTGCTGACAAATTTTAGTAAAACTCTATTTTATCAGATTTCATGAAAATATGTTCACTGGTTCTGGAGTTGTTACATGTGGACGCAGGGCGAACAGACATTTGTACCTGGCGAAGCTAATAGGTGCGATTATGCAGCCGTTTTCAGTTGCGATTGCGACTGAAGATTGGTGGAGAAGGAGAAAGTAGAAAGAAATAAATCAAAAATGGAAGAAGGAAAGGATGATAATAAATAATACGGAAGAAACAAAGACATTGGTACGATTATTGTCGCCGCTTTTAGAATAATAAACCTTTTCTTCTTTATTTCAGAAATCTCAGCGATGACCATAAAAACACAAAGGAAAGAAAAAGAATGTAGATTTATTTCTTGTAATTAACTTTTATAACTTTTAAATGATTTTTAGATTACGTTCATTCAGTTATGAATAACATGCTATACAATTAGTTATTTTGATCTATAGGCCTATTCTTATTTGCTGGCGGATTTTTCAATTTTTTATTGTAGTTATCTAAATCATCATCATAATTGCATTCCTTTAATTCACATCTCTTTTTAGACGCGATCTAATTCTTTAATGTAGGGGTTCTCAAATTTTGTTCCTGGTATCTCTATGAAGTCAAAGAAAAATGTGATTCCCTATGCAGAAATAAAGAAACTTGTAAATTACACGGCCTACATTTGCATTGCTAATAGAAAATAAAGTACATGGTATAGTCTTATTATATACATTTTAAATGCGGAAAGTATGCTGTTTCATTTTAAAACGGTTTATAACACAGGAGTGCTCAAAGCTCGCGTTTAATCAATGTTGTGATTATGTATATGACTTAGGATTTATGGCATCCCTGAAAACCGTCTCTGATAACCCAAGGGGTACTGGTACCTCCGTTTGAGAACCGCTGTTTCAGCTAATCGCAGGTTTCTTTCAGTTGGTATTCAGTTATTCAATTATTAAATTTACACAACTAACAAACAAACAGTGTGATACATTTCAGAGAATACTTTACGAATTTGAAAATATATAAATTTGCTATTTTTTACTAGGACTTTTCAGAATAGAGAAGTCTGTCGGGGTCCTGTGAGGAAGTTCATTACCGACAATTCTCGTTAAACATCGTCACGTCATTTGTTTGAAATAAACGAAAGAACAGAAGCTAAAGCAACTATCAAAGGATTTGTTAACGAAGTTGATCAATATGTTGCATAGTTGTTTAATATCGTTATTGGTGTTGACTGCATGTCAGTCACTGTAATTAACAATTCAGTGTCAGCCCGTTGACCAAATGGCGGAGGAGGGCTGAAAGGTCACCACGTTCTGCTTTGTAGCGAGTTAGATAATTGGCTCGTTAGGCCGCCCTCTGGGTGCGAGAGAGACTGTACGCAGTGGCTAAAGTCACCGCCACACCACCAACCCCCCCACGATTGCTACAAAGGGTTGATATTGTGGGGGTTCCTGGAGGTTGTCAAACGTGAGCCCATGCAACATTCAGCTCCTGGTTTTGAAAATCCGGTAGCCGGTGAACCTAGCCCCACCCCTTGCCACTTGAACCCCTTGTATCCAGGCCATGCAACCCGCAGCACACAGCTCGCTACTGGACCGTTGCCATGGTTACCGCAGTTTCCACCATCGATCTCGTCGTGTGCAGGATGCCAACGTGTTTTGCTTATCTCGTTAAATTTTGCAGTTGGCTTTCGGGTTGTTACAGAATTCTAGTACATTACTTTTTTTCGTGTTGTTAATTTGTAATTTTTTGTTAAGGAGAGAGTTGGAAGTTAATTCAAGGGCTTTGTATGTTCTGTTATAGTGGTAAAGAAGTTTAAAAACATCCTGGAAGAAGCATGCATAATATTTTCTGATGTAATGAAGTATTTGTTTGTTCTTTAAGTTCTGTGGATTAAATCTACAGTATGACTACCATCTTGTAGTCTATTTTCTTCTGCATACTCGGAAGAAATACTTTGTATGCGTTTAATGACTGGCGTTTCTTATGTACTTGAAACTTCCACATTAAAATTTTAATATC